CACACACACACACACCACACCAGTGATATGGCTTGCTAGGAAAGGTGTTAGCTGTCAAACCCGAGGATCTGCGTTTGATCCTCAGGCCTCTTAAAGTGGAAGGAGAGAATGAACTGCAAATTGTCCTCTGGCCTCCCCACACAAACTGTGGCAAGGGAACTGTGGTGTGTGCCCATCCCTCACCAATAAATAAGAAATTAATGCCATTTAAAAGTTAAAGGTAGAAAAAAAAATAAAGATAGGGCTGTTATTTGCAGCAGAAAAGATCTCAGGGACTGTCAATATGAAGCAAGTTGGAGTTTATTCAGAAAAGATTTCAGGCTGGGTGGTGGTGACAGTTCCTCCCTTGGTGCCCGGGTTTCCGAAGGCTATTCTCAACCCTATCATAGAACTTTCTAGAGAAATTTTAGTTCTTTAGTATCCCTGTTACAGTTTTAGAAACCAGGAGATCACTGTGTCAGAAACAGCTCTGCCATGCTATCTTGGCTTTTCCACAGGCTATGTGGGGACAAGGATTATGCATCACCTGTTTTGAGTTTTGAGACAATGGCCTGCGGCTCCTCCAGAAGTGTAACAAACATCAGTGGCAGCGGTCCCATTTTCAGGGGACTCTGGGACTTTGCAGCTCTCCTTGGCGGTGCCACCCGAACTGCAGGCTACAATGTGTCTCCATACCACTGCTTTCTCTGCTGGTTCCTCAGCAGCAAGAGCAACAAATAATCTAAACTATTTCCCTTCACACTGTGGGCCTAGGAACATGGCTGCTTGGGAATCACGCTAACCTTGCTTAGCTGTTTGGAGAAGAAACAGTCTGTACCCTTTTCACTCACGATGGGTCAAATGGTTTGGAAATGCAGTAAAGTAACCTGAACATCTGTGGTAGTGACAATGTGAACTAGAGCCAGCAGCAACCACATTGCTGTCTAGGGACAGCCTGGCTGGTGGTAGTTGGTAACCCTATCAATAGGGGGCACATGTGGCTACAAACACAGGCACTTGTGAAGGAAAAGCAAAAAAGTCAAACATGCTATAGTCATCCAACCAGGATGATAGGTTTTTATTTATTTATTTATTTATTTATTTATTTATTTATTTATTTATTTATTTATTTATTATGTATACAGTGTTCTGCCTGCATGTATGCTTGCAGGCCAGAAGAGGGCACCAGATCTCATTTTTAGATGGTTGTGAGCCACCATGTGGTTGCTGGGAATTGAACTCAGGATCTCTGGAAGAGCAGGCAGTGCTCTTAACCCCTAAGCCATCTATCTCTCCAGCACTGATGGATTTCTTTTTAGTCTTTATTCACCCATTCTTCATGCGTTTATACTGTGCCTGCTGAATCAGGGGTAACTAACACAGTGGGTTCCTACTTAGATAAGTGCAAAACCAAACAACCTCAGCCGAGACACACTAGAGATCTGGGCACAGTGGCGCACGCCTTTAATTCCTGCACGTGGGAGGCAGGGCAGGAGGGTCTCGGTGAGTTTGAGCCCAGGTTGGTCTACACAGTGAATTCTAGGCCAGCCAGGGCTACACAATGGGACCCTGTCTCAAAAGAAATAAGCAAGTAAATTGATTGATTAAAATGGAGGACAGTTACACATCTGAACATGTTTAATGTGCATAAATTATTTTTTATTGGGAGGGGAGAGCTCAAATGCAGTCCTCCACTACCGTTAATTATACAGTCCAGTTTCCCGTATGTAGGGGTCAGTACATCTGAAGTGAAATGAATAAGCTCTGGGAAAACACCTTCGTGATCATGGTATCTCCCTTGCCAGGTAAATATATAAGTTCTTTAAATTTTCTTTTTTTTCCCTTTTGCTTCCATGTATGTCTGGGCACCATGTGCATTGAGTATTTTGCTCCATGTATGTCTCTGCACCGTGTGCATGAAGTACCTACAGCGGCCAGAAGAGGGCATCAGATCCCCTGGAACTGGAGTCACAAACAGTTGTGAGCAGCCATGTGGGTCCTGGGACTTGAACCCTAGCCTTCTGGAAGAACAGTTAGTACTCTTGACTGCGGAGCCATCTTTTTAGCCCCAGTTTACATAAGTTCTACCTGGGAGAAAAAATGAAAAGGAAAAGGCACTTTGAAAATGTATCAATATTGTAGTTTTCCCCTAAAAGGTGCCTGCCATGCTTATCAGTGAACACAGGCGCTGTCACCAGCCTGAGCTCAAAAATTATAATGGACTTTTCTATTCATTTCTGTTTATTTCCAGATGCTGCTTGCTAGAGGTAGGTAAAGCTCTGTGCCAGTGACCACATGCTTTCAGCTGCCAAGGATTAAGTTATCACATATTCCCAAATGTGCAGGAGTGCCGGGGCAGGAGGTATCAGACAGGTTCCATCTAGTCTGGAGGTCATTTTGACACTTGGAAGATAACCTTGGCATCATTATCATCTCATTATAATGATGAAAACCACCCACAGGCTCCCTGAGAGATGCAACCAAATTAGCAAAGAATAAAGGTGGCACCGTGATCCTTGGAAATAACTCTTCACAAAGAACTCGGGCATGGCTGGTTTGGAGGCTATGCTTGTGATCACGGTACTTAGGAGGCCAAGGCAGAAGGATTGAGCATCCCACACCAATCTGGGTAAAACTGTCTCAAAACAAAGCTCTCAAAATTTCATTGATAGCATTCATGCCACAATTGTCATAACCCAGTCCTAGTAAAAACCCAGGCTGCGAGGTCATCCTTTCTGGCACAGGCCTGTAATCCTAGCACTGAGCAAGGGCTGAAATAGGACCGATCACCACAAATTCAAGACCAGCCTGAGCTAGTGAATTCTAGGGGAATATGGGGTAGAACGTGAGAGCCTGTCTTTATAAAGCAACCACTGTTGCGGGAATCTTTCTGGAATGACCGCTCTGACACCAGTGAGAATGGAAAAGGTGTCCTCTGTTGACTGAAGCCAGGACAGCTCCTGAAAGGCTTCGATCCTGGGTCCAGTCTGTATACTCGTTTCATACTTTAAAACCACAAGGTGGGGCAGGCAAGCAGCAATGACTGACCCATGGCCCATTATTTCAGCTCTCTCTCCAGGTCATTCTGTTTCAGGTAGCGAGTAATGTCATGTTTGGCAAATCGGCAGTACACACAGTGCTTTAAGTAAAGCACTAAATAAGTCAACAGATCAGTATCTAACAATTGATCTTTTCTATTTCACTGTTACACAAAGACTCAGGCCTTAGATCTACCCTGGGAAAAGAGGATACATTCTCTCTATTCATGACCATTAAATAAAATACGCTGTCAGCCTCAGGAACTGTTTGGTTACTTGCCAGCAGTACTACCCAGTGAGAAAAGAACCTGCAAGTTCAGAAACAGCATCAAAGGAAGCTTTGTAGTCAGGAGGCTATTCAGAAGACCCAGGCAGGAGAATTGTACAAATTCAAGGCTAGCCAGGGCTTCATAATGTCCGTTTGAAAAACAAAGGCTTTGTTTCTGTGTGGCTTAAACGCCCACAGGTACAATTGAGATTACATCACGACTGATTTTCCAACAATTTCCACATTTTAAAAAACATTACACTGTGGCAGTGAATTGGAGGGCTGGAGAGATGGCTCAGCAGTAACTATTCTGTCTAATCTCCGCCGGCTCAAATTTGTGTGCAGAGTGCAAAAATTATTTTGGGCGAAAGACAGTTCTAGCTTTAAACAATCTTTCTTTGTCCCCGCCACCAACTCTGCCTCCTTTGTTTTACCAAGTTCGTTCCCTTCCCCCCACCTCTTTTCTCTTCTCCTTCTCTCTCTCTCTCTTCTCCCCTCCCTCTCTCCTCCTTTCCCCTTTCTCTCTCTCTCTTTGAAAACAGGGTCTCTACATAGCCCTGGCTGTCCTGAATTCCCTATGTAGACCAGGCTGGTCTCGAACTTATGGAGATCTTCCTGCCTCGGCCTCTCAAGTGCAGGGATTGAGCTCAGCTGTTGTGGCTTTTTTTGAGACAGGGTCTTGCAATATATTTCATGCTGGTCTGGAATTCGTAATCCTCTTGCCTCAGTTTCTCAAGCACTGGGATTACAGACCTGCCCCAAACACTCAGTTCAGGCGTTACTTATAACCCGTGCTTTACTAGCGACTTGGTTTATGAACAAGAGGAAAAGCAGCGGAACGCGGTGGATTCGGCTAGCCCCGGCAGGGGCGTGGCGAGCATCCCCGGGCCCCGCCCAGCCCGTGCGTAGGGGCGCCGTTCTCGGAGACCCTAAAGGAGCTCCGGAAGTGCGCGGCCACCGGCGCCGCGCGTGCGCAGCTGGGCTGTTCCGCCCCCAGTCGGCAGTCCGCTTGCCCCCTGAGCGCGGGCCCGGCCCGGTGTAGGTGGGTGGCTGGTCCCGCGGGCTCGGGCCGAGGTGAGGCTCCCGCGGTCCTGTCGCTTTGCAGGTGGGCACGGCCGGCCGGTCCGCAGGTCGTGGAAAGACCGCGCCGAGCCCAGGGACTCGGCGGGTCTCGGGCTGGCTGCCTCCGCTTCTGGCCCAGGGCGCTGATGATGCTGCGACACCTGGGAGGAGGGAGCGTGGAGGAGGAGGCAGCGGTCCCGGCCAGACGGGCCACCCAGCAGCGGGAGGACCGGTGGGAGGGACGAGCCGCTGGCGGCGACGCCGCCTTGGGAGGCATGGCTGTGAAGGACGATGGCCCTTAGGTTTGGCCCGGAGCTGACCCTCGCCGCCGATTTTGTGTCCTCTCACACCCGCAACCCCTGAGGCCTACCGGGATGAGTCCCACAGCCTTTTCCAGGCTGGCCCTCTAAGGCTGAGGCGGTGCTATGCGCCCATTCTTGGTGTCCTGGTGCATGGCTGGAACTTCCAGCTTGCACCGTGCCTGGGGCAGTTCTCAGTTTGGATAGCGGCGCGGGACAGGTCACACGTTTGGCTCTCACGGCTTCAGTACACCCCCCGAAGGCCACTTCAGAAGCAAGGGCTGTCGTCTTCCTCTGACCATCTTGTCCACTGTCCTAGCTGAATGGGGCTGAGTTTGTCTGTTTTCTCTCCCTGAGAGTAAGTTGGGAAGGCCCTCAGACCGGGGCTGCCTCTTACCTACCACGGATTCCAAGGTGGTTCACGGCCCAGATGGCTGCCAAGTCCTGCTCCGGGGCTCTGGTGAGTTATTCTTTCTCCCTCCTGCCCTGATCACAAGCTCTCTCCTCTAGAGCTGTGAGGTGAGCCGATAGTGACTGTGGAAAGAACCAGGATGCAGACTGCAACCTCTCATAGGGATAGTGCTCTGTGTTCAGTTGGGCTTTGCCTGGTCCCCTGGTCTCAGTTCTGCTACCCCATCAGAAACCAAGAAGCCACACCCCTGGTGCACTCTCAGCCTATTGTCATTCCAGGGAGAGATGCCTCTGACCTTCCAGGATGTGGCTGTGTACTTCTCCAGGGCAGAAGGGCAGCAGCTGGGCCCCCAGGAGCGGGCGCTGTACCGGGATGTGATGTTGGAGAACTATGGGAACGTGGCCTCACTGGGTGAGAACTGCCCTGGAGTCCTGGCTCACACTGGGGAGTCTCGAAGGGACTTTGGGGGCTGATTTGGCTCTTAGATTCCCAAAGAAAAGAGAATCCTGCTCTTGTCCCCAATTACCAGTCTACCTAGTTCTAGGGACTCTTTTCCTTGTTGCCAATGGCCTCACAGTGTCATCCTTTCCCCATCTAATAATAGAGTTCTTAGGCATTTAAACTCCCTTGCCCCTTGGTCTCCCCTGACCAGTGTGCCCATGCAAGCAGAATACTCTGTCTGGGACGGCGGACCCAGCAGGCAGGGTCCTGCTCCATCCCTCCAGGCTGCAGCAGCTCACCCAAGGTCCTCATCCTTAACAGGATTTCCAGTCCCTAAGCCAGAGCTGATCTCCCAGCTGGAGCAAGAGGAGGAGCTGTGGGTCCTGGATCTTCTGGGGGCTGAAGAATCAGAAGCCTTAAGAAGTTGCCAGAGAGGTAAGCATAAGCCAGAGGCTGGTCTCAGGAATGGCCTCCCAGTCCTGCATTTGGTAGCTGGCGTGAGGGCTAGAAGTGAAGGCAGATATGGTGATGGTATACAGTCCAGCCCTCTCTAAAGGAAGATATTGCTCCTGTGTATGCACATGCTTGAAAGGTTTTGCTTTGCCCTAAAGAAAAACCCAAGCAAAACCAAACCAAGATTATAGTTTCTGGTCGTAACATGTTTTGTTCTTTCACACACCTTCATGAACTTTTTTGTAGAATATTCTTTCTCTTTTCATGCTAGCTACAGGTTCTGTATCATGCTCCTTTCTCCTTCATCGCTTCCTCTTCAACCCTCAATTTTGGTCAGCAGTACTTCCTGGTTCTTTCTCTTTCTGGAGGCTAGGTCTTTTTGCGTTGCTCAAACACGTGTCAAACACCTCGGATCAAGTCATCCCTCCTGGAGCCTCAGCCTCCATAGTAGCTGGGACTGAAAGTGCATGCCCCACTGCATCCGGACCGGTAGCATTCTTTATAATGTCTCTTGGATCCCTCCCTCCCTTCCCCTTACCTCAACATTCTCCTGTAGCCAGGGCTGGCCTTGAACTCTGTGTAGATGAGGATGGCCTTGAGCTGCTGATCTTCCTGCCTCTGCCCCTCAGGTGCTAGGATTACATTACAGGCGTGTGCAACCACACCTGGCCCTTTGGCGGTGTACTGTAGCGGTTCTGCTTTAGTGACCAGCTCTGTCTTTTGACTCAGCTGCTGCTGAGATTCTTTCTGTTTCCTGCGCTTTCTCTCTTGTTCCTCTCTGTCCTGCTCTGTCACATGTACTGTGCCTCACTGTCAGAGAGCATATAGTATTTCATCAGTCACGGCCTCACATTTGCTGTTATTTTATCTTGAAAAGTTGAGTATATATCAGTTGTTTGCCCGTTATCAGTTGTTGGTCCCGTCACCAAAAATGAATGTATCATCACTTCTGAGTGATTGACTCAGAAAGGCTCTTTTGAACAATATACCCCCGAATTTTTACACATTTGAAATTGGCTACAAAAAAATTGGCCTTTTCTTTTCTAAAATTGGGGGCTTAGATCGTTGATTTGTAATTTTTCTTCTTAAAGCTGTCTACAGCTAGGCTTTTGAAAGTACAGTCTTAAATACAGTTCACATGTTTACAAATACTACTGTTGTGTATGTCTGTGTCGGGGTATACGTACTTTAGCTCAGGTAACTGCAGAGGTCAGAGACATTAGATCTGCAGAAGTTACAGGCATTGTAAGCTGCCAAGTGAGGGTACTGGGTACCAAATTCAGGTCCTCTGGAGAGCAGTATATGCTTTTGACTGATACATCTCTCTAGCTTTGTGTGTGTGTGTGTGTGTGTGTGTGTGTGTGTGTGTGTGTGTGTGTGTGTGTACTATATATTGAACTAATGTATGTTAGGCAAGTGCCCTACTAATGAGCTATATCGTGAGCCCTTTTTGTGTCTTTTATTTTTATTTATTTATTTATTTATTTATTTATTTATTTTTGGGGGTTTTTTTTCGAGACAGGGTTTCTCTGTGTAGTTTTGGTGCCTGTCCTGGATCTCACTTGGTAGCCCAGGCCGGCCTCGAACTCACAGAGGTCCGCCTGGCTCTGCCTCCCGAGTGCTGGGATTCAAGGCGTGCGCCACCACTGCCTGGCTGTGTCTTTTATTTTAAGACAGAGTCTTAGTTGCTCTTGATGGCTTTGAACTCACTTTATAGTCTAGGCTGGCTTTGAGTTTGTGATCTAACCTCAGCCTCCTGAGTACCAGGATTATAGGCCTGCACCATCAGGCTCAGATATATTTCATGGATTTTCTATAGACTTTATTAGCATTTAGTTCAAAATACCTTTTTTTTTTTTTTAAACAATTCTTTGTCCCAATCAATACTTGGACATGTGTGAATTTCTAAGTAGTTTTTTTTTTTTTTTTTTTTCTAATTATCTTATTGTTGTTAACTTACTATGTGATTCCACTGTGGTCAAGGAATATAAGTATGTATGGTTTTATTCTTTTTTTTTTTTTGTTTTGTTTTTTGTTTTTTTTTTTTTTTTTTTTGAGACAGGGTTTCTCTGTGTAGCTTTGCGCCTTTCCTGGAACTCGCTTTGGAGACCAGGCTGGCCTCGAACTCACAGAGATCCGCCTGGCTCTGCCTCCCGAGTGCTGGGATTAAAGGCGTGCGCCACCACCGCCCGGCATGGTTTTATTCTTATATTTGCTAGATGTCTTACGACTTCCAAGTCTCTTGGTAAGCATACTGTGTGTGTATTAGTAACTTTTCTGTTGCTGTGATTGAACGCCCTACCAAAAAGCAACTTAGAAAAGAAAGGGGTTTATTTATTTTGGCTTGGAGTCCCAGAGGGGATAGAGTGCACGATGGAGGAAGAGTCCTAGCAGCAGGAGCAAGAGGCCAGTCAGGACACAGAGTGATCACATTTCATCTGCAAAAGGAGGTGGTGGAAAGAAACATGGATGGGGACAGGAAGTCCTTCAGCAAGTCTCTGTCTCCTAAAGGTTCCATAACCTCCAAACTCCCAGAGTACCACCAACTGGGGGTCAAGTATTCAAACACATCAGCCCGTGGGAGACATTTCTCATTGAAACGACAATATCCATGTAAAAAAAACATGGCGTTATGGGTGTTCTGTAGTTACAGGATTGTACAAATGTCATTTAAGTTGATTAAAGGCTAATGGTGTGGTTCAGATCTTCCCTGTGCTTTTCCTGAGTTTTGTTGTTATTGTTGTCTGTTTGGTTGTTTAACTATTCTTTTAGTTGCTAAGAATATCCAAGGATGTGTGAAGTCTTTCCCTTGGATTTATTCGGTGTCTGCTATCTCTATTTTGAAGCCGTGTCATTGACTTGTTCTCATTTGTGAGCTACATTTTAGGTGATGCTAACATGGCAACTCCAGCCTTCTTGCTGTTTTTGTTAGCATGGAGTGTCTTTTCCATCTGTCTAATTTCAGCAGTGTCTTTATATTTAAAGTGTCCATCTTGCAGATAGCACACAGTTGGCTCCCATTTTCTGTCCATTTTGTCTTTTCATTTCTGTGTGCAGTCTGTTAATGTTTATTCCACTCTTTTCCTTGCTTCCATACCTTCCCCTCTCCTCCTCTGCTTTAGTGTTGGGAATGGAACCCAGGGACTTTTGGATGCTAGGCAAGCCCTCTACCATTGAACTGCACCTCTAGCCACAATGCAGTATTTAGTAGATAATAACTTTGTTGTTGTTATGTGTTCTCTATTTTGATTTGAGACAAGGTCTCTCCATGTAGCCCTAGCTTTCCTGGAACCACTATGTAGACCAGACTGGCCTTGAAATCACAGAGACCTGTGTCTACTTTCCAAATTCACCACCACACCCAACTTCTTGTTTTCGTTTTTTGACACAGGGTGTCTTGCAGCCCAGGAGAGCTTCAGGCTTATTATGTATTTGAATCTGGCCTTAACCTCTTGACCCTTACGCCTACACCTCCCAAGTTCTGGAATTAGCTACCATGCCTACATGTTTTACACTTATTTCCTTTTTGAACATTTTTTATTTCTCTGTTCCTTTTTATAACATCCTACCATCCTTTATTTTAGTTATATACAATATATATGTGTGCATGTGTGTACATACACATACAACTTTAAACTTCATCATATAGTACTATAATTTTAAACAGTCAACAGATGGTTGATGACTTACAATGAGGTTGAGTCCTAATAAGTACTGTAAATAGAGATGATCATACATTGAAAATGCATTTCTTATTCCTACTTTCTTGACCTCCTGCCTTAATCACAGCACACTAGAGTTTAGTTGTTTAGGTTGACGGGGAGCTGTGACATGCTGCCACTGCCTGGGATTGCAAGAGATGGTCATACTGCATATTGATAGCCTAGAAATATCAAAATTCAGAATAGGAAATAGATGTCTATTGCATACAGACCACTTTTGCAGCATTGTAAAGTTAAAAAAAGTCAGCAAGTATGGTGGCGCATCTATGATCCCAGCACATGGAAGGCAGAGGCAGGAGGACTGTTAAGGTCCAGGCTGGCCTGGGCTATATGGCATGATCCTGTTTCAAAACAGACAGAAAAGTTGGAAATGTATTCAGCCAAATCATGGTAAATGCTGCAGTTGGGACCTGACATGTTCCCCAAAGGCCTGTGTTGAAAGTTAGACTAGAGTACCACTGGGAGGTAGTGGGAACCTTAGAAACTGGGACCTAAGAAAGGCCGCCAGGCCTCCTGATGAAGGAAATATTGAGACTCTGACCTCTTCTTCTTTCTTTTTGCTTCGTGGTTGTCCTGAGGTAAGCAGGCCTCCTCCACCCTGTCATGATGTACTGGCTGCTACAGGCTCCAAGCAGCAGGGCCAAGTGACTGGACCGACCTCTAAAACTGAGTCAGATATAAACCTCCGCTCCTCTTCAGTTAATCATCTCAGGTCTCTTGTCATGGTGACAGAAAGCTAGTGAGCACAGTCGGGAATCATCTGCATACAGTTTATATAAAAAGAAAAATGAGCTGCAGATAGGACTCAGTTGTTACAGGGCTTGTCTAGCATGAACAAGACCCTGGGTTTGATCCCTAGTATGGAATAAAACCAGACAGTGTAGTGTACACCTGTAATTCTGGCACTTGGAAAGTAGAGGTAGAAGGAGCAGAAATTTAAGGTTAATCTCAGCTCTGTAAGTGAGTTCGAGACCAGCTTGGACTCTAGGAGACCCTGTCTCAAACAAAAAGCTCAGCCACAGGCTGGGCAGTGGTGGTGCATGTCTTTAATCCCAGCACTCAGGAGGCAGAGCCAGGTGGATCTCTGTGAGTTTGAGGCCAGCCTGGTCTACAGAGTGAGATCCAGAACAGGCACCAAAACTGCACGGAGAAACCTTGTCTCGAAAACTTAAAAAAAAAAAAAAAAAAAAAAAAGCCCAGCCACACTGAAAACTCACCAACCTTTGTGGCTCTTGGAGAACTGAGGGCAGAACCAAGTGT